GACCCAGATTGGGGGTCTGGGAGCCCCTTTAATTGAGATAGGACAAAGGCAGGAGGAGCAATCAGCACGTGCTTAAAAACAGCCTGTAAAAGTACAATTTCTAATCTACTGCTCAGGGAAGTTCTGTCTATATATGGTCAAATCCTGGGCGTCATTGGTAGGGCACATCTCAGGATGTTATGTTATGCACTATCAGGATGTTATGGGGTTTTGGGAGTTTGTTTTCTCCTGTGTGGTTCAGCGTGGCTCTGCAACTATATTACAACACCTTTGCTCTCTCTCCTCTGCAGACTGCCTGGGCACCCCGCTTGTCTATGCCCCAGTGAAGGCGGACCTCTCCGGGAATATTAAGGTAGGGAAGGGCAGCGAGGGCCCCCCGAGGCTCTGAGGAAAGGGGCCGCTGGGGTTGAGCTGGGATCAGGCCCCGGCTGGCATCCACCCACCCTGGATTGTTTGTGGCCCAGCTCATGAGGAGACAGCCCTTTGCCAAGCATTGGAGGTTCAGCCCCATAAGAAGCAGGATCAGGGGGGCTGCTAATTAGAAGGGGCCCCTGCACCCCCTCCCCCACCAGCCGGGTCCAATGTCCGATTCTCTTTTGCGTCACTTTCAGAAAATACGGGCGGTTTATGAATCAAACCCAGCCAAGTTCAAAACCCTTCAGAACATCTTGGAAGCGGAGAAGGAAATGCACGGGTCAGCCTGGCCGAAAGTGGGGGCCACCTTGGCCCTCATGTGGCTGAAGAGGTGAGGGGGGTGACCGCAAAGCTGCCTCTGCTCCCGAGGGGCGGCTGGAGGGCCTCACGGGGCCCCAGTGCCAGGGGGGAGGGCGCTGGCAGCCTCTCAGAAGCTTTTCTCCCCCTCCCAGGGGACTGAGGTTCATGCAGACCCTCCTGCAGAGCCTCTGCGATGGGGAGCAGGACAAGGAGAACCCCAACCTCATCCGTGTGAACGCCCTCAAGGCCTACGAGGTGGCCCTGAGGAAGTACCATGGCTGGCTGTTGCAGAAGCTCTTCCTGGTGAGCCCCCAAATGGGAAGGGGCCGGGGGGGAGGTTGGGGGAACCTGGGGGAGGGGGGCAAGACCCCAGACTCCCTCCCCCTCCTTCCAAGGCTTTGGGGGCCTTTAGGACTGGACGATGCCAGCTCTGGCCCTGCGGGTGGGACCTTTGCAAGGCAGAGACTGACCGGCTTCCCCCCCCCCCAGGGCTCCGTCTACGCCCTCCCCTACAAGTCGGACCTGCTGAAGGCCCTGGAGAAAGGCAAGGAGGTCAAGGAGGAAGAGACCTTTGAGAAGATCCACCAGTTCTTGTCCAAAGCGACGCCCATCCTTGACACCATCTACGAGATGTACGCCAAAATGAACGCGGAGCTGAGCTACAAAGCTTGACCAGGCCCTCCCCTCCTCTGCCAGCCTGGGCCCACTCCTCTGCCTCCCCTCCCTCCCTCCCTCCCTCCGCTCTGCAGCCCAGCAAGTGCCTTCCAGCCCTCCAGCCCTCCGCCTAGACCGAAGACTGGCCCAGGCTGATGGACTTTGGTGCTCTTTTGTGGCCTTTCTCTAGTGGCCTTTCTCCTTCTAGGGACATAAGGGGGGAGGCAGCAGCCCTGCCCTGCTCCCTGGGGCTGCCTGCCAGGTGGAACCGGTCTTTCTCTGAGCTTTGGGCAGCACCCCATGGACCCCAGTTGCGCCCCAGGACTGGCTAGTGCCCCAACAGCCCACAAGCCGTGCCAGGAGGGCATGCAAAGCAGGGGAGCTTCACCCCTCAGGAGGCAACTTACTGGCATTGGGGCCATGGTGGGCTTCCCTTGCCTCCTCCTGGGTGGCCCTTTAACTCCCCTGCCTCACCTGACAAGAGCGACCGGAGCTCAGGGACTTTTCGGGGTGGCTCTTGGGGTGAACATCCACAAGGCCTCTTTGCACAAGGGATTTCTTCCGGGAACCGACTCCGGCTTAAAACCTGCTGTCATTTTCTGGGGGCATAAAAATTATGCCCAGCCATCATGGTGTTGCTTCTGCTTGATGCCTTCCGTGTGGATGGTTTTAGGAAACTCGTGAGTTGAATTAAAATTTTATGAGAGAGACGCGCAATTTATTTTGGTTTTCCCAAAGAAGACTCAGTGGGAGGGGCAGTGAGCCACACTGGCTGGGGATTATGGAGGTTGAGTGTGGGGGCATATGTGGGGGCATACTGCTTTAATTAATGCACCCAAACTATTTTGAAAAGACCTTTTAGGGCAGCCTGGTAGCCCACGTCCTTATTTGGAACTCCTGAAGGGAGAAGGACCTTCTCGGCTGGTCCTGTTGCACCCAGTAGACGGTGGGCATCTTGGGATGGGTCAGGGGGGGTTTGCCCACCACGCTCACTTACCAGGGCCACTGGACTCCCAGCTGGGATTTTTCAGAAACTGGCATTTGCTGCATCACACCAGCAGGGGGCAGCCTTTCCTCACAGATGAACCAGCAGAGACTTGGTGGAGGTGGGAAGGCCAGGGAGGGAGGGAGGGAGGGAGGGGTAGATACAGCCCTCCCAAGTTTGCAGGAGAAAGTTTATAAGGGAGGGGAGGATCCCTTTGGGGATGAGTGGGCCATGTGGGGGGGGGGGAGGCTGAGTCCTGGGGACTCGGAACAGTCCTCAGTCATATTCCTCTCCCCACTGCAGGATCTCCAACCCACTGAACTCCAGCCTCTGCCCCCCTCCCTCTTCCCCATCAGCTCCTTGGCACTCCTGTCGTCCCTGGGTCAGGGGTGCAAGCCAGGCCTGTTCAGGCTGGCCGGAAAAATTCCTAAGTCCAGCATAACTCTAAGCCCTTGGCTGCTCCGTCTAAAGCCAGTAGCCCGGCCGGAGGGAGGGAGGGAGGGGCGAGCCAGTAGGCCCTGAGACTCGGAATGGGCTTCTACAGTGAGGGAGGGAAGGTGGCCCTTCACCCAAGGAGCCCAGAGGAAGAAGGGGGAGGGGTTGCAGTTCCCCCACAACAATCTCGGCCTGCCAGAATCCTTTCCTCCCCACAGAGGATGGTTTTAAAAGACCCCCCCCCCCTCTGTCTCCCTCCTTCAGTGTTGCAACTTTTACTCCCTGGGGGTTCTTCACAATCCCTTGCCAGTTTTCTGCCCACCTGCTTGCAGGAAGGAAAGGGGGAAGAAATCCCCTCTGTTGTGCCTCTCAGGGTGACTGGAGAGAAAACCGTAAAGCTATTAAAAGGCACTTTCTAGTCCCACCTGGGCTCCACCTTGGCAATAAAGAAGAGATTTTGCCAGGTTTAACAGGCAGTTAAGAGCTGGGCGTGTGCACAAAACTTTTCCAAACATTTACAGGAAGAGGAAGGCAGACTCATCCCCCCCTCCCCTCCCCACCTGCAGGCGAGCCTTCCTGAGCAAGAATTGGGTTGGGTTTCGGGGAGCGGAATTCCTTCCTGCACCCCCCAGAGGGGAGACCCTCAGCTGCCTCTCGGTTTGCTCTCGAGAAGACCTGGAGCGTTCCAGCGAAAGTGTTGATCCCCCAGGACAGACCCGGGGGGGGGGTAATCTGACGAGTGACGTCTCCGCAAGGACAGCCTGGCCAGCTCGGGGGCGCCAGAACTCCTTCGGGGGGGGGGGTAGGAGCCGCGGTGCCGTCTCTTGAGGGGGGGGTCGTTTCTCTTGCGCTCTGCAGTTGCGCTTCCTCTGCGCGGAGCAACAGAAAAAGCTCCACTCGCGGGGTGGGGGGCATCTGAAGCCCCTGCGGCGCCGGGGGAATCTTCCGCGGATGAGACTGGGGACCCGGCGCTAAGGTGAGCAAGGAGCGTCCGGCGGGAGTGGAAGGGGCTGGGCTGGGGTCGGGGCGTGGCTGGGGGCCCCGGCTCCCTCCGTCCAGGGAAGACGGCTCCAGAAGGGCCGTTTGGCTGCTGCTTCTGACTCTCAGGCCCTGAACTCTCCCTCCAGGTCTCCGGGACTCGAGCGCCCATAATCCGCAGCCAGGGCAGCTAAAGGAGTCCGAAAACCCGAGGCGGTTTCTCTCCGGAGCCCGACCAAGGGAGGCGCTGAGCTGAGCTGGGCTCCCCGCTGCCTGTCTCGGAAGAAGCAAGGCGCAGCTTTGGGTCCTGGTGAGGCCACCTATCCGGGCCTGCCTCAGAGGCCAGTGCCGGACTTTGGGGAGCTGGGATTCGCCTTCTTGCGGTGCCTTTCCCGGCGAGAACCGTCCGTTGCAGAGATTGAAGAGCCGCCGCCGCCCCTCAAACGGGCAACGTGGGTTACAGAGCCTCCCCTGGGCGCCCCCCCCCCCACACATCATAATCCCGGGGCTGAAGGGGGCAGCCGTGGGCTCGGCGAGTCCGCCCCCCTGGGAATCTGGTCCTGCCGGCTTGGAAATGTGCTTCCTTCCTGCCTAGCGACCGTCGGCGCTGAAGGACGTAAGTCCGATCCCTGTCCAGCTCCAGCTCCGATGCAGGCGAGCCCCCGACTCTGCCCCACTCGGGGATTTTTGCTCTGCCCTTCGGGGTCCCTTCCACTCCGCGCGGGGCAGAGGAATCGCAGGAGGAAAGGGGGCCCTGCGGGGGCGCTTTTGGATCGGAGTCCACTCCCCGCGTTTTATGGAGCTGAACTCCCGCAGCGCTACAGATTCAGTGGCGGCTCCGTTTTTGGGTGGGACAGAATGATGCAATTTTGCCCTTGACAGCCCCGCCCTTGGAGGTGCCCAGATTCACGCAGGGGTGCAGCGGCCGACTCTCTTCTGAGGCATCTCCTTTAAAGCCCGTGTCTTCCCATCCCCCCTCCAGAAACAGAAGGGGGGCAGGCTTTGGGCTCTGCTGCTCTCCAGCCCTTTGGCCTGGGGGGAGGGGCTCTTCCCCCCCCCCCACTCTCCAAGATCCCCGGTGGGGCCCTGTTTGGGCACGTTGGTTAATCCTTTGAGCTATGACATTCTCCAAACACTTGAGCTGCAGGACAGTTGGGGAGGGGGGGGGGGTGGGGCATGCATAGCCTCGGGCCCCCAGCCCCCCCCCCCCAAGACACACTTTGGAGCAGAGTCCTGTGCTCTGAGGACTCTGGCAGGGTGGAGACCCAGCGCTGCCAGTGGCCCAACCACATCAGAGGAGACGAACTCCTTTCCGGCCAAAGCCCAGAAACACGCAGCTTCTCTCTGTCCCAGCTTGGCTGTCCCCAGTTGCCTCTGGCGCTGCAGGAGGAGCGCCTCCCTCTGCCTGGGGAGACAGGGGTCCCACCTGGAGCCCCCTCCCCACCCCAGGCTCCCAACGCAGTAGAAAAAACAAAAACCCGTTTTGGAAGGGGAGGCTCCCCTCCCCTCTGAGCGAGCCCTCCCTCCCTCCCTCCCTCCCTCCCATTGGGGCTGGCAAGGAAGCGCCTTGGGATGCTGCAAAGGGAGGCTTGGAAAGCTGTGGTGGGGCAGCTCCATCGGTTCCCAAAATAGGCCTGGGGGAGGGGAGGGCCTCTCTTGCACACTGCTGCTTTTGGGGGGAGCTGTAAAGGTTCAGGATGAAGAGGGGGGCCGGATTCCTTTAAAGCTCTCAAAAGGGACAGGAGAAAATTTGTCTCCCGTGGGGGCTCCTTGGGGGCCGGAATCCAAGGCAGGAGGGGGAGGTTGGCATTTAACCAGGGGGGGGGCTTCTCTTCCCTGAATTGATCCCATCTCTCCCTCCACCCAACAATTGCCACATCTTGTGATTGAAGAGTTTCACCGTTTAATTCTGTCGCCAGTGAAGGAGCCGCTGGGCGAAGACGGCCAGAGAGGGAGGGGCTGCCTGCCGGAGGGGGCCACCTTCCCCCTTGTTTGCCCAACTACTGATTTGTAGTCCTTTGATCTTGGAGGAGGAGAGCTCCCCCTCCCACCCAGCAAATTCCTGCTCTGAAGAGCTCGGTTCAACCCTGGACTTACTGGGCAGTGAGGGGCTGGTCATCTTCCCTGGGGGGGGAGATGGGGGGGTGTTGATGTGCCTGAAGTTCTCATGACTTTGCACAAGCTTCGTTCCCCGCAAAGATTTGCACCATTCGGGCTGCTTTGCGGGTCTTGTGATTTGGACCCCCAAGGAAGAAGTTGGGTGAAGCTTCTTCCATCCAGGGTCTCAAAGGATTTCCTGATCGCCCCGACAAGCAGCTGCATGGGAACCGGGACCTCCCCTCCCCCCTGCCCCCCACCCAGCCAGCCTGCTATGGCTTGGCTTCCTCTCCTCCCAGTCTCACCCACCCACCCACTTCCTCCCAGTTCCTAATTTGTTCCTCCAAAGGGCTGAGTTCCCTGCGGCTCTTCCGAGCACCAAGGCTCCCAGCAGTCTTGGCTCTGGGAATTTGGAAGAGGTGGAAGAGGCCGGAAGCCCCTGGCTGTAAAGCACAATAGGGGTCTCTTCGTGCCCAGCCTCACTGGGTGCTACGCCCAGGCCCCACGGGCACAGGGCCAGCCAGCCTCCTCCCTGCTTAAGGACGCTGGGTCTCGCCCCAATCCAGGGTGCTCCGTAGTCCCAGCTTCTGTACCTGGGAAAGTGGGGCGGGGGTTGCCTCCTGAGGGCGAAGGGCAGGGGGCTGGGATCCCTCCCTGGGCCAAGGAAGGGCGGGCAGTGAGCAGCAGGGGCTGCAGCCCCATGCATCCACCGGGGTTCAGCCACGAGGATTAAGGGGAGCCTGGGGTTCATTGGCCGGCCCTTCTGCACATGTCACCACCTCTCCACGTCAGGCTTGTCTGGAGAAGGGGAGCTCCTTCCTCTCCTTCCCCTGCTTCAGCCTGGGAAAATTCTCAGGATCCGGACTGACAGCTCCAGGGGCGGATGGAGAAATGCCACTTCCATGTAGGCCTCCAAAGCATTGGGGGGAGGGGGGTGGACCTCCTGGCCTCTGAGCACCTCAATCTTTCTGCTCCAGCACAGCTCCCACTGCCCTCCAAGAGATTGCAACCCTCCCCAGCCACCCCCCGCCCCAATGAAGGGCCCTGGATGGTGAGAATGGGCACCGCCAGAAAGAGGCTTTCGGGAAAGTCGGTGGGGGCCCGTGGCCGCCTCTACCCAGCCGCGGTGGAGCCCAGGAGAACGGCTGCTGGCAGCCCCTGCAGGAGTGCCGCATCTTCCCTCCCCCCCTCCGCTGTCTGGATTTTGGGTGGGGTCCGGCTGAAGTTTCCAGGAGCGGTGAAAGCACTCCTTGTTCCTCACTGGGCCGGGCCTGAAGTGAGCTGCGGGCTGGTGGCCAGTCTCTCAAAGGCCTCTCTGAGTAGCAAGCAGGCTGTGCCCCATGGGAGGGAGGGAGGGGCCGGGTGGGTCAGGCAGGGCAGCCCCCAGCCAGGACAGCCACATCTGGGAACAGTGTGTGCAGCTGCACCTCCAGCCCAGCCACACAGCCTTGATCCGGCTTCCACAGAGAGCAGAGGTGGGTGGTCTGGGGGGCCCTGACTTGTGGGGGGTGGGAGGCAGTGGGGCGAGCAGGAGCTCCGAGTCCTCAGCTTCTCTTGGGAAAGGAAACTCCAGCCCCCTTTGCTCTGGGGCAGCTCGGGAAGGGCTCAAGAGTCAGCCCAGCTTCCCGGCCTTTCCTCCGCTGGATGAAAGGTTTGGAAAGAGAATTTGGAAGATGACCAGACAGGGACGGTCTCTCCTCCCTCCCCCCCCCGAAGCCCCTGCAGCCTTCGTGGTTTGTGACCCTTTTCTAACAGACAGAAAGTCCCAAAACTTCAGGATTTCCATCGCTGCTAACTGGGGAGTTCCGTGTGTGTGTGAGAGAGGGGGGGGGGAGGTGGAGGGGGGGTTTCTCTGGGTTTCCAGCATGGTCAAAGGAGGCCACCCCCAGGCAAAGCCGACAGAGTGACCAGCAGCAGGGGACGAGTGTTGTAAGGCCACGTGTGCCACGGGCACCTCCGCCCCCTGCCTGGCTTCTGACCTCCTTTCCTCCACCAGAGCCACGATGGCCGACCCGGAGGACACCCCCGTGGCCGGCCCCGCTGAAGCCCCCGAGGCCCCGGCTGAGGAGTCCTCCCCGCAGGGCGAGGCCTTCCCGCTCTCCTCCCTGGCCAACCTCTTCGAGGGCGAGGAGGGCTCTGGGCCTGGCGAGGGCCCCCGCAGCCCCCCCGGCTCAGGGGACGGCAAGCAGAACCTGCGGATGAAGTTCCACGGAGCCTTCCGGAAGGGGGTCCCCAACCCCATGGATCTGCTGGAGTCCACCATCTACGAGTCCTCGGTGGTGCCGGGGCCCAAGAAAGCCCCCATGGACTCCCTCTTCGACTACGGCACCTACCGCCACCTCCCCAGCGACAACAAGCGCCGGCGGAAGAGGGCCCTGGAGTGAGTAGGGGGGGGGAGGCGGATCTCCCTGCCGCTTAGTTGGGGGCTCACGCCTCTCCCCACCGGTGCTGAGCTGCCTTCTCCCCCTGGCCCCTCCCCCAGGAAGAAGCCTCCCAGCGCCAAGGGGCCGGCCCCCAACCCCCCACCCATCCTCAAGATCTTCAACCGGCCCATCCTCTTCGACATCGTCTCCCGGGGGTCCCTGGACGGGCTGGACGGCCTCTTGCCTTTCCTGCTGGGCCACAAGAAGCGACTGACCGATGAGGAATTCAGAGGTGAGTGAGGCAGGGGGGGGTGTCTGTGGGGGTGGGGGCTTCGGGGGGGGAGATGCAGGGGTGTGGGGCAGAAAGGAGAGGGGCCCGTCTTGGCCAAGAGATTTGCACCCAGGGCAACATCTGTAGATGCCACCCCTGTAGCCCTATTCATCCCAGGTTTGGGGGCTCAAGGAAACCCACCCCCTGCTGGATCTAAGGCAGGAAATGGGACCCCCGGGGAGATGCCCCCTTGCCCCTCTCTCTGCCAAGTGAGAAAAGTTGGGTCCAGGCCCTGAAGTTCCAGGGGGAGGGGTGCCACAGCTGGATGCCACCAGATGCCGTGGCTGGGGGAGCAAAGGGGTGGGTGGGGCATGATGGCTGTGACCTTCGCAGTTGCCAGCCCGCGGTGGGGCAAAGGCAGCCTGGGGGCCCAGATGGGAGGGGAGGCACTATCGCCGATGTTAAGACGGCCTCCGCTGTTGTGAGGACAAAATGGGGAGTCTCAGGCCCCCAGGAAGGAAGGAAGGAAGGGGGGAGGCATTGGCGTAACCGAGGTGCCGATTTTGCCTGGCTCCAGAGCTCTCCACTGGGAAGACGTGTCTGCCCAAGGCCCTGCTCAACCTCAACGGGGGCCGGAATGACACCATCCCTCTCCTGCTGGACATTGCTGAGAAAACGGGGAACATGCGGGAATTCATCAACGCACCTTTCCGAGACGTCTACTACCGAGGTGAGGGTCCGTCTCTGGGGGTCCCCAGCGAAGGAGGCTCAGTCAGTCCTCCCTCCCTCCCCCTCCTGGGCTCTCCTCTCTTTACTTGCCCCCCCCTCACAATCCCAGAATAAACGGCACCGTCACTTTGAGCCCCATCCTCCGTGGGGCAGGGACCATCTAAGGCCAACGCCTGGGGAAAAGCTGGGGGGTGAGGAGTTGGACCTTCATTGGTCAGGACTGGGGGACGCGAGCCGATGCCCATTTGAGCCTCAGCCTCAGGAGCACCAGGTTGGGTGGGTTGACGGCATGGAAATCCGAGGTCTCCTTGCGCTGAGCCACATCCCAGCCGGCGCTTCTTTCAGGCCTGTGGAAGCTGGCAGGAAATGCTCAGAGGGTCACAGCCTTGGGGGCCTCGAGGGAGGTCAGGGAGCGCTCGAAGGAGCAAACGGTTGTGCTTCTTCAGGCCAGACCGCCCTGCACATTGCGATCGAGCGGCGGTGCAAGCACTACGTGGAGCTGCTGGTGGAGAAGGGGGCCGACGTGCATGCCCAGGCGCGGGGCCGTTTCTTCCAGCCCAAAGACGAAGGCGGCTACTTCTACTTCGGTGAGTAACGTTCCCAGACTCTCTCCTGCAGGACCTCCTTCTCTTTGAGATTGGCCGCTGGTGGGTCTCATTCTGCAGGGAGCCTACCGTCCACCTGTGGGCCAGGATGACCACCAAGGGGAGAGGGAGTCTGCGGGGGGAGAGGGGGAGGGCCAAGGGGGTGCCTTACCCGGCAGGGAGCTTCTGAAGGGATGGGAAATTGAGGGGTCAAGTCGCAGAAGGGACTTCAGGTCCTACAAGGGACAGAAAGGGTGAAATTGGACCCCACAACACTGGAAGACCCTCGGATGTTCTGCACATCCACTGTGCATTTCCAAGCTGGTTTGGGGTGTCGTGGATGAGACTTGGCGCCTGCCCACTTCTCCACTCCTGCACAGGGGAGCTGCCTCTCTCTCTGGCCGCCTGCACCAACCAGCCCCACATTGTCCAGTACCTGACGGAGAATGCCCACAAGCAGGCCGACCTCCGGCGGCAGGACTCGCGGGGCAACACGGTGCTCCACGCCCTGGTGGCCATTGCGGACAACACCCGCGAGAACACCAAGTTCGTCACCAAGATGTACGACCTGCTCCTCATTAAATGTGCCAAACTATTCCCGGACACCAACCTGGAAGCCTTGCTGAACAACGACGGCCTCTCGCCCCTCATGATGGCGGCCAAGACCGGGAAGATAGGGGTGAGCCAGGGCCAGTGGGGGGCACCACGTTGAGGACTCACTCGAGTGTCTAAATCAGGTTGGCAGAGGGACTCCAGGGGTCCCGTTTGCCCGATTCCTCGGCTGCTTTGACCAATCCAGGTCCCCCTCCTCAGTTCATCCGAGCTGTTTCCCCCCTCCCCGCCTGCAGATGTTCCAGCACATCATCCGCCGGGAGGTGAAGGACGAGGAGGCGCGGCACCTCTCCCGCAAGTTCAGAGACTGGGCCTACGGGCCCGTCTACTCCTCCCTCTACGACTTGTCCTCCTTGGACACCTGCGGAGAGGAGGTATCCGTGTTGGAGATCTTGGTCTACAACAGCAAGATTGAGGTGAGGCTGGCAGGAGACCCAAAAGGGGCACCCTCCGTGGGGAGGCTCTGGCTGCCGGCTCTTCACGGGGCGCTTGTCATCTCCTGCCCAGAACCGCCACGAGATGCTGGCCGTGGAGCCCATCAATGAGCTGCTGCGAGACAAGTGGCGCAAATTTGGGGCCGTCTCCTTCTACATCAGCGTGGTCTCCTACCTGTGCGCCATGGTGATCTTCACCTTGGTGGCCTACTACCGCCCCCTGGAGGGCACGGTGAGTACACACACCCCTTGTCCGATGGCAAGAAGCCTGAGAGGAGGCAGGCAGGAACTGCAGCTCTGAGGCGCCCCAACAGAGGGCCAGCCCGGTGCAACCGGAGCCTCCCACCCTCCAGAGGCTCTGCTTTCCTCCTCCAAGACTGGGGCAGCCCTCAGCGCGCTTCCTCCCCTTCCTCCCCCAGCCCCCGTACCCCTACACGACCACCCCGGACTACCTCCGCCTGGCTGGGGAAATCGTCACCCTCTTCACAGGAGTCCTCTTTTTCTTCACCAACGTAAGTGCAGACGGGGGTCTTCTTGCCTAGAGGAGGGGTCCCCCGTCTTTCCCCAGCCCCCTTCACACCCCTCCGTGCTTTCCCTGCATACTGGAAGGTGGTGACCCTCCCTCTCCTTTCCTCTCCCCACCCCCCAAATCCTCCCTGCTTCTGAGCCTGCCCAGACTTTGCAGCTGCTGTCCGGAGAATTTGGCTGCAGCCTCATTTGTGGCTCAAAGGGGGTCTTCTTTCCCTCCCTCCCCCCCCCGCCCCCCAGGTCAAGGATCTGTTCATGAAGAAATGCCCAGGCGTCAATTCCTTCTTCATTGATGGCTCCTTTCAGCTACTCTAGTGAGTGGAAGGTGGAACGTCAGCTCTGTGTGTGTTTGGGGGAGGGGGGTTTAATAGTGACCCCCCCAAAAAGCCATAAACCCTCCAACTTGGCCGGCTGGAGAAGTTGCCTCCCCTTCAGGATCTTCTAAAGGGGACACTGTGGCCTTGCGAATGGGTCCCCGTGCCAACCTGCCCTCCTGTCCCCTGCAGCTTCATCTACTCCGTCCTTGTCCTGGTGGCGGCTGCTCTCTACCTGGCTGGCATCGAGGCCTACCTGGCGGTCATGGTCTTCGCCCTGGTGCTGGGCTGGATTAACGCCCTCTACTTCACCCGCGGCCTCAAGCTGACGGGCACCTACAGCATCATGATCCAGAAGGTGAGGGGGGAGCGGGGCGCCCTTCCTCTGCCGTGCGCGGTGGGCGGGCGCAGCTGGGCCACGACTCACAACCGCCGCTTTCGGGACCCTTTGAAGTGATCGCGGGGGCGGAATAAGTGACCCACAAAACACAGCATCGCCATGATCCCTGGATCAGAATTCTGGTCCCGCGTGGTCGTAAGCCGAGGACTGCCTACATCCCAGCACAGCTGAGGTCACAGCGGTGGGACTCACCTCCTGGTGCCCTCCTTCCTCTGCAGATCCTGTTCAAGGACCTCTTCCGCTTCCTCCTGGTTTACGTCCTCTTCATGATTGGCTACGCCTCCGGTAAGCCCCCCTCGCCCTGCAGAGCCAGGTGGGGGCCCTGTGCCAGTAGGGAAGGCGCCAAGGGACCCGGCTAAAGGCTCCCCCCTCTCCGGCAGCCCTGGTCTCCCTGCTGAACCCCTGCCCCAGTGCCGAGTCCTGTCGCGGGGAGCGCTCCAACTGCACGGCGCCTGCCTACCCCTCCTGCCGGGACAGCAAGACCTTCAGCACTTTCCTGCTGGACCTCTTCAAGCTGACCATCGGCATGGGGGACCTGGAGATGATCGAGAACGCCAAGTACCCGGGGGTCTTTGTCATCCTCCTGGTCACCTACATCATCCTCACCTTCGTCCTCCTGCTCAACATGCTGATCGCCCTCATGGGGGAGACGGTGGGGCAGGTCTCCAAGGAGAGCAAGAAGATCTGGAAGCTGCAGGTAGGCGGGGGCAGGCGGGCGAGCGAGGGAGCCCCGCAGGCGGGCGAAGGGGAAGTGCGGCTGAGGCTCCCGCGTCTTCATGGTACTGGACCTGGGTACTTGAGAGACCGCCTGCTGCCAATTACCTCCACCAGACCGATTAGATCCCACAGACTAGGCCTCCTCCGAATTCCATCCGCCGGCCAATGCCGACTGGCGACTACCCGGAGGAGGGCCTTCTCTGTGGCTGCTCCGACCCTCTGGAACGAGCTCCCCGTGGAGATTCGAACCCTCACCACCCTCCAGGCCTTCCGCAAAGCCCTTAAAACCTGGCTGTTCCGACAGGCCTGGGGCTAAAGAGCTTTTGCCCCCACTTCTCGAATGGTATGACTGCTGTGTGTTTTTAAATTTTTGTATTCTTATGTTTGTCTTTTTTTATCCCCCTGTCTGTACCCCCTTCCCTGATTGAATTGTGAGCCGCCCT